ACTAAAACATATTGTGTCCATCATTCATGAGGAAGTATCTGAGATGGTTCGTGGCCTGAGTCAGGTAGCATCCAAGAGGTGAGGAAAGTTCATAGAATCATAGAATCATAGAATTGCCCAGGCCGGAAGGGACCTCCAAAGGCCATCTAGTCCGACCCCCCCGCAGTCAGCAGGGACACCCCCAACTAGACCAGGTTGCCCAGGGCCTCGTCGAGCCTCTCCTTGAATATCTCCAGGGAAGGGGCCTCAACCACCTCCCTGGGCAACCTGTCCCAGTGCTCCACCACCCTCACAGTGAAGAACCCTCTCCTCATCTCCAGTCTAAAGCTGTTCCCCTCCAGCTTGAAGCCATTGTCCCTCGTCCTGTCACTGCAGGCCTTTCTAAACAGGCTCTCCCCAGCCTTCCTGTAGCTCCCTTCAGGTACTGGAAGGCTGCTATTAGGTCTCCCCGGAGCCTCCTCTTCTCCAGGCTGAACAACCCCAGCTCCCTCAGCCTGTCCTCGTAGCAGAGGTGCTCCATCCCCCTGATCATCCTCGTGGCCCTCCTCTGGACCCTCTCCATCAGGTCCATGTCCTTCTTCTATTGAGGGCTCCAGCCCTGCACACAATACTCCAGGTGAGGTCTCACCAGAGCAGAGCAAAGTGGCAGAATCCCCTCTCTGGACCTGCTGGCAACATTTCTTTTGATGCAGCCCAGGATGGGATTGTCCTTCTGGGCTGCAAGTGCCCACTGCCTGCTCATGTCCAGCTTCTCCTCCACCAGCACCCCCAAGTCCCTTTCCTCAGGGCTGCTTTCCAATCCCTCACCCCCCAGTCTGTCCTGATGGTGAGGATTGTTCCTGCCCAGGTGCAGAACCTTGCATTTGCTCTTGTTGAACCTCATGAGGTTCACCTGGGCCCACCTCTCCAGCCTGTCCAGGTCCTTTTGGATGACATCCCGTCCCTCTGGTGTATCCACACCACCACACAGCTTGGTGTCGTCCTCAAACTTGCTGATGGTGCCTTTAATCCCCCTGTCTATATCAGTGATAAAAATGTTAAACAGTATTTGTCCCCGCAGAGCCTCTCTGCCACCCTCTGGGTGGTGGCCTCGGGCATCTCGGTGGCCTTGACCACGCTCTGCGGCATCTTGGGCGACCTCCTGGCCACCACTGGCCACAGCGGTGAGCTCTTGGACATCGGGGGGACACAAAATTTGTCACCCCCCTTCCCCCTTCCCGGTGCCACCGTGACGGTTTGGTGACACCCACCCTCCCCTCCCCAGGTGACCGGCTGCTTCGTGCCGTGGCCCTGAGCCCCTCCGAGGTTCAACGTGTCCTTCTGTGGGCTTTGGTGGCCTTGGTGGCCTCTTGGCTACTGAACCGCCTGCTGGGGCTACTGCTCCCCGTGCTGCGGTGGCTGAAGCTCTGCTGTTTCTTGGTGGCCTTCTTTCATGTCGCGACATGTCGGGAGAGCCCCACCACCCAGGCGGGGTTGCTCTTGGGGCTGTGGCTTCTTTACGCCCTCCTGGGGGGGCGGCTAGTGGCCCCCCCGTCCACTAGCCCCCAGCTTGAAGCTTCCCTGCGCAGCCTGGAGTGGAAGGTGGAGGAGCTGCGGCGGCGCCAGAGGTGGGGGGGGCCCCGAAACCGGGAGGAGTGACCCCCCCCAACTCTGTTTTTGGGGGGGGACACACACACACTGCACTGTCCCCCCCCTCAGCTTGGGTG